TTTTTTTTTTTTTAATTATATATATTTTTATTGTGGGCTACACAACATCAAACAAACATCTTTTTTCCCTTTACCACTTTAACCTTATGACCCAAATAAATCAAATAACTTATAATCTCTTTTGTATGAAGGAAATTACTTCCGAATACCATGAACTTTGTTGGTCAGCGAATATTACTAGAATGGTACAAATACTGCATTTTAATTCAGTTATTTTCCTCCATTAAAAAAGAAAAATCATCTATTTTCCTTTCTGAAAAAAAAAAAAAGAAAAAGAAATTAATTCTAGCACGAAATTTGCCATTTGAAAATTCGAATTCAACATCCAACATTTATATTTGTTTAAAATACTCCTAACTAGTCAGGTTATATTGCCTCACATATCATCAAACAGAAGAAGAATGTTCACCTACGTAATAAAATTTGAATTGATTCAATGATCTTTTCCTTTTATAGGTAACCAACCGCAGGAAATTAAAGAAAAAGATTCGTGTCCATAACAGCATGCTTGGATTTTAGTCTCGGGTGACATAAGAATTTTCTCTTTTTTGTAAAGAGCCACGTCTTACATGATATACCAGATGATATACAACATGTTTGAATTGAGAGAAATAAATGAAAGAGAAGAGGAGAAAATTTTTTTTCCTTAGTTATCAAAAGAATTACGAAAAAAAGAAAATTTTTTTATTTACTTTATTTTTCCTTTTGATATATTAACTTACCAAAATAAGAGAGAGAGGAGCAAAATTGAGAGATAAATTTCTCCGTCACTTCATTCCTGTTAACCCAAAGAAACGGATAATGAATGGTAATTAAAAATTTATAAACAAATACCTCATCATCCGCCTCTATTAAAAATCGCATTCAAGATAAGGAACAAATCTCCTTGTTAACAAACACCACTAATCTAAATAAACCTAGTCATTTTCATTTTGACGAATTCTGGATAATATTAAAATCCCCCATGGCCAATTGGGGACAGTCTACTTTATAGCCAGAATATAAAACTCCAATAATTGGACCAACCATTTTTTAGTGCAAATAGAAAGAACTCGATTCTCTTAAATAAGGTGAGTTTGAGTCTTATGAATGGAGAAACAAACATTAGAAGAGCTTCTCTTGATGGGATTCGACGCGATTTGATTGTAGATTAATCAAAATCCAATATGATTACTAGATATCAAAAGATTAATACAAAAATATAAAAATAAAACTCCAATAATTGCATCCAGACACATCATTAACTCATCATCTAGGACAGGTTCTCCCAGAATCTTCCATGTGTCCGTTTTGCAGAGGTGCTAGCCAAAATGGATTTCCCACCTTTCGTGGCGTTGAAACTAATTCTGAAACTTTGTTTTCAGACTCCTGTGATGATTTCACCTCCCACCTAACATGGTTTATCCAACCAGGATGTGTAGTGAAGGTTTCAACCAGGTCCGTTGGCTCTAATTTTCCCCGTTAATGTAATCAAAGGCAGGCTATTCATATGGAAAAACATTGCATTCACTAGTAATTACCATTTCATAATCTCTCCAAGAATCGAAACTTAATCTACAATGCAATCAGAAAATCTACTTTGCGAAAAAAATTGCTTGGGCATGGAAATATTAAAACCAGTGTGAAGATGCATCATATCAGAATAAACCAGGCATCTTTCTTTCGGTGCTGACTTTAAACAAAGGAAACAAAGCATATATTCTAAAGACGGGAAGTAAAATACGTGTAAAAGCTCTTGCCCTTGTATTTGTTCTGTAATCTTCCTTCACCACAAAGTAAAGAATCAGAACCCTACATCACTTTTACTTTTTAATAATTTTACTTTCTTATTATTAGCTTTTTTGTCAAACTTTTTAACTAATCAGGTGGGAAATCTGGGTGGCGTCCTAAACTTCAATCAACGTGCTTAGTGGTGAAGGGAACTTCTTTGTATATGATAAGATTTCCTGCCCACTAAAGTTTATGACTTCATATATATATATATATACACACACACACAGTCCAGAGATCCTGAGTTTCATTGTCCTACAAACAGATTAACAACATAGCAATCTAGAGAGCATTCAAGAGAATTCCTATTGTTTTCTCTTCCATGATGACAAAGACAGACACACAAGAGAACCAACCTCCAGCAGGTTCCAATCGCTCCTAACATCCCTATTCCGATTATTACTTTCGTACCTTAAGATTTGAGAACTCACTTTCCTCTCTATCTTTGTTTTAAAGGGTATCCTACTCAGAATCCCCCGGCTGGGAAGAAGAAGTGGTTCACGCGTACAAAGAAGAAAGGGGAGAGAGGCTTTATTGAGGGATGGTAAGTTCATTCTCCCATCACTCTCAGAATCATTTATACATAAAGGTAGAATAATAGAGGCAGCTCTATAGTTTCTTTCAAGAATAATTTTGCCTTTCTAGTTTCTACCATCGACTATAATGGAAGATATAATAGGGATATTCTTCAATCTGCAAATATAAAGAAATACAAAAGCATGCTAATAAGAATGAGGAACCTTCTACCAGAACCTAACTCATCTTACTATTCACGATCTAGTGTTATATTCCCTTCCCTAGAGCTTAACTGATAACTTATTTTGTTTTTTATCATGCTTCTTGTTGCAGCCTCTTCGCTCTATGTTGCTGTTGGCTCTGTGAAGAATGCTTCTGCTGAACAGTGATTTCAAGGATTATAATGTTTTATGTTTGGTTTGATTGCGTTGAGAAGGGATAGTTGTTTATTACTACTATTCTGTGTGTATGATTATCCCTTGTAATAAATATTAACAGTTTTAAAACTACTTTGGAACCTACATACACAGATCTTCATGATCCCTCCTGGCTACAAACAAGTTTATATTTACTAGACGTTTCCTTTCCCTTTTCTTTCTTTTTCTTCAATATTACTGCCCA